TAGCTACCAGAGGTGCTCACAAGACATAGCTACCACAGGTGCTCACAAAATGTAGCTACCAGAGGTGCTCACAAGACATAGCTACCAGAGGTGCTCACAAGACATAACCACCACAGGGCCTCACAAAAACAGAATTCCACAAGGACTTACTTGAATGTAGAGACTTGGTCGATAACCTGTTCAATGCCAGTCTCATGATTGCTCTGTAAAGGGAAATAAGTAGAACATAAAATAATTTTATATGGAAGTAAAGTGACATAAAATAACCTTATTATGATCATTTATAAGGATATTCAAAATTTTTTTGTAGGAGTGGAGAGCAAAACAACAAGATAAGCAAGAGTAATGAGGTGATCCAGGAATTACCCACTCCATCTTGTATCAATTACACTCTATACACATCCATATTATACCAATATTGCATAGGATTGAGGATCAAATCGTCAGCTAAGGCAGATAATGGACCTGTCAGTCTCAAACTTCCTTGGATCTAAATCAACCATTCGGTGATATATGACCATGATCTCTACATACTGTCTGTTTTAAACAGAGAAAGTTGGATCTCTAAAACTACAAGGTCTTCAAATATCCAGATTATTTCTGCACAGTTAGCATTTTTTAATTGTAGACAAGGAACTGTGCAGACAAAGATTACCCAATGTTATCTCTACACACAGTACTTACATCCTCAGGGAGAGCCTTGGACAGCTCACTGTGGGCCATGGGTGATATACACAGCTGGTGGATGATCTCCCTTTGAACTGTGTCTTCACTTGTCACGTTACCAATGCCCTCCACATAGCGCTCGCCTGTCAATGTCCACAATAGTCAGTATACAGTCACATAGTTATATACTAAATACATGTATGTGTTGAGTCTGTAGTTACACTGTTATATTCCAAATAATCAGTAGACAATAATCACCTTTCTGAACCTGAACTAAAAGTTGTTAAGTTATGCTATGAAAAATAGGACTTCAGTAAAAAGAAAAGAACACATGGTCGCAATAGCAAATACCTTAACTGTTCTTCCATTGTTACATACTTACCAGAGATAATCATTGAACACATGGTCGCAATAGCAAATACCTCAACTGTTCTTCCATTGTTACATACTTACCAGAGATAATCATTGAACACATGGTCGCAATAGCAAATACCTCAACTGTTCTTCCATTGTTACATACTTACCAGAGATAATCATTGAACACATGGTCGCAATAGCAAATACCTCAACTGTTCTTCCATTGTTACATACTTACCAGAGATAATCATTGAACACATGGTCGCAATAGCAAATACCTCAACTGTTCTTCCATTGTTACATACTTACCAGAGATAATCATTGAACACATGGTCGCAATAGCAAATACCTCAACTGTTCTTCCATTGTTACATACTTACCAGAGATAATCATTGAACACATGGTCGCAATAGCAAATACCTCAACTGTTCTTCCATTGTTACATACTTACCAGAGATAATCATTGAACACATGGTCGCAATAGCAAATACCTCAACTGTTCTTCCATTGTTACATACTTACCAGAGATAATCATTGAACACATGGTCGCAATAGCAAATACCTCAACTGTTCTTCCATTGTTACATACTTACCAGAGATAATCATTGAACACATGGTCGCAATAGCAAATACCTCAACTGTTCTTCCATTGTTACATACTTACCAGAGATAATCATTGAACACATGGTCGCAATAGCAAATACCTCAACTGTTCTTCCATTGTTACATACTTACCAGAGATAATCATTGAACACATGGTCGCAATAGCAAATACCTCAACTGTTCTTCCATTGTTACATACTTACCAGAGATAATCATTGAACACATGGTCGCAATAGCAAATACCTCAACTGTTCTTCCATTGTTACATACTTACCAGAGATAATCATTGAACACATGGTCGCAATAGCAAATACCTCAACTGTTCTTCCATTGTTACATACTTACCAGAGATAATCATTGAACACATGGTCGCAATAGCAAATACCTCAACTGTTCTTCCATTGTTACATACTTACCAGAGATAATCATTGAACACATGGTCGCAATAGCAAATACCTCAACTGTTCTTCCATTGTTACATACTTACCAGAGATAATCATTGAACACATGGTCGCAATAGCAAATATCTCAACTGTTCTTCCATTGTTACATACTTACAGGAGATAATCTTTTTGGGCATAAGGAGAATAATAACAGTCGGAGACTGTTGGCTCACGGATGTAAGAACAAGGCAGGAATCACCAAGTTTTTCTTAACAATGATTATTTATATAGCAAGATCAGTAAAATTACACCATATTCCAGAGTAGACAGAGTCCAGCTTTGACAGGGATGACAGGCTATCATTTAAGAAAGGAAATGAAGAGACCAAATATCAAAGCCAGAATAGTCAGTGATCTAGATTAGACAGGGGCTGGTTTAAACAGGTTACATAGGTTATAAAGTTGCTATATACCGTAATGTGTACATGTACAGTACCTTTATATACTGTAATGTGTACAGTACCGTTATATACTGTAATGTGTACAGTACCGTTATATACTGTAATTTCTCCCACACCCGACAGATTTATCTCCCATTTTGCCGGTGCAAGATTTATCTGTCTCCACCCTAGGGTTGAGACTGGGGGATTCCCCTATTCATAACAATGGCATGACGTCACTTCAACAATACAATGACGTCACATCAACAATCCATCAACAAATTGCCTGTATGTGTTTTGGGTCCATGTTTACCTTTATTTCACATTAAAATACTGATAGATATGGGAAAAAAATAATCAATCCCTACTGGTTGTGTAAGATAGGGAAATCTCAACCCTCGGACTAAGATTTTTTGTCCAGAACTCGGCAAGCCTCGTTCTGGACAAAAAATCTTAGTCCTTGGGTTGAGATTTCTCTATCTTACACAACCAGTAGCGATAGATTCTATTAGTGTACAGTACTGGTATATACTGTAATGTGTACAGTACCATTATATACTGTTATGTGAACAGTACCGTTATATACTGTTATGTGTACAGTACCGTTATATACTGTAATGTGTACAGTACCTTTGTATACTGTAATGTGTTCAGTACCATTATATACTGTAATGTGTACAGTACCTTTGTATACTGTAATGTGTACAGTACCGTTATATACGGTAATGTGTACAGTACCGTTATATACTGTTATGTGTACAGTAGCGTTATATACTGTAATGTGTACAGTACTGTTATATACTGTAATGTGTACAGTAGCGTTATATACTGTAATGTGTCCACTACTGTTATATACTGTTATGTGTACAGTACCTTTGTATACTGTAGTGTGTCCAGTACCGTTATATACTGTAATGTGTACAGTACCTTTGTATACTGTAATGTGTGCAGTACTGTTATATACGGTAATGTGTACAGTACCGTTATATACTTTAATGTGTACAGTACCTATGATAATGATGAGGATATTGAGGAATTCCTCTGCTAAAGTCACTGTCTGTTTAATCATGTCTTCTTGACTTCCTGGCACATCATACTCTGGACTGAAACAAATACAGCAAGTTTATATGGAGAACACGAAAATATTTTCATCAGGATGTTTAGTTCTTTCTGTGACACAATGGTGAATTAGTTATTATTATAACTCTGTCCTCTTCATCCCCTATTATCATTTAAAAATAAATGTCTCTATCTATCTACCCTGATATCCTTTTAGTAGTTTTTAAAGTAAAATTAACTATGTTGTTACAAAGATTATTGACCTTAAACACTTTTTAAACCCCTATTGCACATCTACATATCACAGTATAGATCACCATAGCAATTTTTCAAAAAGATATGACTTTTCAATTCCTAGATAAAGACTGTTACCCAAATGGTCTATCTGTAGTAACATCAACCTTGACCTTGACCTTAGAAACGTTTTAACCCCTATTGCACATCTACATAGCACAGTGTATCACATCACCAAATTCAAATATATTATACTTTTGGAATCCGAGATTAGGACTGTAACCCACATAGTCTATTTTTAAAAACAGTGACCTAGCTAGATCTTAGAAACTTTTTAAACTCCTATAGCTACTGCACATCCGCATATCACAGAGCTTTACCACATCAAAATTCAGAAAGATCAGTCTTTATGGCACCTACATTTCCGATGCAAGGCCCTTATTACAAAATCTAAAATGTTGAATATATTCAGGCAACAAACAAAGTTAATACAAAGTCTTGCAGGAATATTTTGAAATCCCCAAAACCAAGGATATGAAAAAGGATTTCTATTGTAGAACTTGTTGAAAACTGTAAGTAGAACAAGAGGCCCAATGGGCCTGCATCGCTCACCTGGTATTAATCTCACACTTGTAATCTTTAAAGTGGACTAAAATACAGCTACAGGCAAAATATCAGTGTTTCATTCATAAGAACCTATTAAAAGATTTAAACATATGACACCTGTGACCTTGAATGTCGAACAAGGACATTATAATATTAGGTTGAACAGAGTTTATAGTCTTCCAACCCAGCATGCTTCTGGAAAAATATCATTTCCCTGGACCTTTTGGTTATACAGAACAAATCATTTAAAGATTTAAACATATATTGACCACTGTGACCTTGAATATGGGTGAAGGTCAATCACTTGGTAGTCCTTCATCCCAGCATGCTAATGGCCAAATATCATCACCCTTGGCCTTTTGCTTATTAAGAAAAAGTCATTCAATGGTTTTAAACATATTTGACCCCTGTGACCTTAAAATATAGATGTTAAGGTCATTTATTAGAACTTGGTAGTCCTTCATCCCAGCATGTTACTGGCTATATCCTAGGCCTATAGGTTATTCAGAAGAAGTTGTTTAAAGGTTTAGAACATATTTGACCCTGTGACCTTGAAAAAAGATGAAAGTCATTCACTTGAACAAACTTTATAGCCCTTCATCCCAGTAGATTACTGCCAAAATATCATCACTCTAGGCCTCTCGGTTATTCAGAAAAAGTTGTTTAGAGGTTTTGAACATATTTGACCCCTGACACCTTGAAAGTGGGTCAAGGTCATTTATTTGAACAAACTTGGTAGCCCTTCATCCAAGCATGCTTCTGGCCAAATATCATCACCCTAGGCCTTTTGGTTACTTAGAAGAAGTTGTTTAAAGTAAAAAGTTGACGCCGGACGAAAGACGGATTGAGGACGGACGACGGACGGACGCCACACCATGCCATAAGCTCACTTGGCCCTTCGGGCCAGGTGAGCTAAAAATCGTCACTTTTCATGTAGTAACCCTGTCTTATCCTGAATTGTAAATATAGAAAGAGATGTAAGTTTACAGTTCTGTCATTATCTCAGAGAGCTATTGTTCCAAGTCTTCTGCTCATACAGGTGATTGAGAGGGGACAGACTTACTTGGCCCAGGCCAGCAGATTAAACTTGTTAAGTAGATGAATCAGGAATTCATTGCTGTCTATCACAGAGGCTCCCACCTGTAACAGAACAGTACATGTATAAATATCTGGTGCAGGGCTTATGTATATTGTTAGAAGAAATGTTATAACTGAGTATTTACTATTACATAACAAACGTTAAACCAAAATGTAACCTACTAAAATAAATTGTAAATTGTACAGATCGTATACATGATCGAAGCATATTACAATATGTATAATCACCACCTGACTATGATCTGAGAGTAAAAGCTTATAATACTTATAACCTGTACATAACAGACTTCAAGTTGTACAAAACTTACCTGTACAATATTTACCTGTACATGGCAGATTACAAACTGTGCAATACTTACCTGTACACTATTTACCTGTATAGGACAGACTACAATCTGTACAATATTTACCTGTATAGGACAGACTACAAACTGTACAATATTTACCTGTATAGGACAGAATACAAACTGTACAATATTTACCTGCAGCATAACAATATCTTTGTCATACATCTCCCTTCGACATTTCACATTGTGATAGAAAAATATCTGAAACAAGAAAAAGAAAATTGATAATAGGATGTCAAGCACTTATAACTTCATTTAGAGAAAACATTGTTTACAACTGATATAACTAAGATATGAGGAACACGAAATTTATATCCTTTATATAGCACCATTAATGTTGGCTTAGCTGGCGATTTGCACCACCCATACAACTTTATAAGTCACTTCTATACAAAAACTGTATAAAGCACTGCTAGTTTATATAACCTGGTTGAGAAGTCCGTATCCATTGCGGCGCCACATGTTAGCCTGGGTTTGAGCAATCATCACCAGCACTCGAAGGGGTGGTTCTATCAGGTCCACTGGAGTCAAACTCTGTAATGGTACATAGTGTGTCCGGTGTGTTATTTGTAGTATACATATATGTATACATACAGGTGTCAATTATCACATAAGCAGGTGAGTGAATCTTTATGTTATTAATCATGTGTGCATGTATGTAATGACATTTTGATATCAACTTTTACACAGTTCAGTATTAAATTCACAAAGTTAAAACCAATGATACAGTTCTTGAGTTATTGCGTACAAGATATGTAGTGTGATTATATTTATTCTGCTCTCTCTGAAAACAGAGAAGGTGAGACATTAATCCCTAACACATTATACATACATCCATGGCCAGTTCTGGAGAGTTGAAGTTGAGACCATGCTTCTCAAGATGTAGGTGGAGTCCTGTAAAAACATAAACACTTTCACAGAACATACAGAATTTTTATCGAACCTATAGGAAACAGACAGTAGGGTGGACCTATATGACATACATACACAACTAAAATCATCTTTAGTTACCATGGTAGCAGATGATGTATTAGCCTTATCATATTTAGTTATAAGTAAAATAGATATGTATAATTAGCACAACAATATTTTTCACTCCAGTTTATTTGATGTTTATTTATATAATAAGCACCAACATAAATTAATGCATCATATTACAATTCCTTCAGTAACTGGATTATTTGAGTTATTTGAAATACATGAAACTAAAATTTAACATGAACATTTATGACAGGAAATACTGAAATTTGGAGGAGGTTGTCCTGTATTTACCTGCCATGAACCGTGTGAGTGGGAGGTGTATGGACACATGTTGACTAGACACATCGTACTGCACACACTTGGCCTTGAATCCCGCCACTGAAACAAACACCATGGTAAGCACGTCAATATTGTGCTTTTCCCTCTTGACTCCCAATGCAATTTATGCCTCCATAGGTTATACGCCTAGGAAAGTTTATTATTATCCTTTGTTGTTAAGTAATACAGAGACATGATTGTTATTTTAAAGGAAAATGTGAATAATGATGGAAGGAAACAAAACAAAATCTACAAGTAAAGGCTTACATGACTTTATCACTTCAATATATGGAGTGAAACAAGAGGCCCATGGAGCCTCCAACGCTCACATGGTCTATCATCACCAACAATATTTGTACTGTATATAATTATACATTTTGAAAAAAAAATGGACCTGTCACTTTCAATGTTGGTCGAGGTAAGATTTTTAAACTTTATTGTCCTTTAACTCTACAGGCCACATACAAATGTATCAATATTCAAAGTCTCATGGTCTCACTTAATAACCCTTATCTTAGCATACATTAGGCTCAATATCATTTCTTTCTTTAAAAGATGTTCTACGAAGATTTTAAAATATCTGACAACTGTGACCTTGAATGTACTGGTATGTCTTGGTTATTCATCAGGAAAAAGGTCACAGGCCTTCAATCCATCAAGCCAGTAACAAAGCAATAGGCATCATTGCTCATTTGCAGATGTTATTTGAAGATGTTACATTTGAACCTGTGCCCTTCATTCCAGTATGCTACATGCCACGACAGACACTAGCAACACCATTGCTTAATTGTGCCATGTAAGCTTAAGTTCACCATAAAAAGTTCATCTCACACCTCTTTTTGGGATAAAACAACCTTTCAGCTCTATTAGCCATCAATATCATCTCACAGCTGTATTTGTACAAGCAACTCACAGCTCTTTTGACTAAAATATCACCTTGCTATCCTATTGGGTTCAAGTTAAGTAACGGGTAACACATAACCTCACATTACTATGATTGGTGTAACTAGAATGGTCCTAATGGGACCTGATAGTCCTGTTGTATACTTGTATACCCTGCTCTGTCTATTTCAATGTGAAGTGTTTTGGGATCACATGTTTACAGAGAGCTGATCACTGTGATCTCAATCACTGGTTAGTCACTATCTATGTTTGAGAATACGTGAAAAATGTTATGTGAATACAAAGAAGATTGTGAAAGCTTACATTAGCAGATACTTTCAGCTGATCGCAAAAAGCCTAGTGTCAACAGATGTCCAGGAAAGTTGGTGAAAAGACACATGTATTTATTTTAGATCTAGATGAAGGCTATGAAAATCATTATCTTTCTGGTAATTTACAAAAGGTGGAAAAAATGAAAACATGCATTCCTCTGTGCATTCATTTACGTTCTCAAATTATAAACTTAACATTTCAATTAATACGCTAGGCCTGTATCTTTTTTTTTTACATGTTTACAGCATTTTAATGATTTGACAACCCTAAAACTTTGATTTGATCTGGTATTTAAAACTTTGGTAAAATTTGAAACTGACAGAATAGTATCTGGATTCCTCAGGATGGTCAACTAAGTTAGCAAACCTACAGTGGTAAAATTATTATCTTCTATTTTTTGGATTAAGAGTGGTAATCGTGATAAACTACTAATCAAGTTGTTGTGGTCTGATTATTTATTTTTATTATCTCTGAAGGCCATAGTAACTTTTGTACCACAGTAATTGCATCAGTAATTATGTAAATATTTATTGCTAAAAATTGGACATAATATTCACTGGCAAGCTGAGTGGCTAGGCAACATGTGTTTTCTGGAAGTAAGCATTGAATCAAATGAGATGAAGATGTTATTCTGAATATGTAGTGTTAAGCTGTGTCAAGATTTGTTGAGTGGAGCCAAGTACGAACTTTTGTCACTGGATTGGACACTATTTCCACTCTTTTAATTTTAAGTTGTAAATAATATACCTTCTAAGTAAAAAGGCTGCAACATGTTTCAGCTCTGAAAAAAAGTTATTAAACAAAACAAAAAGTTTAAAACATACGTATAAAAAAATCATACACTCAATCCTGCAAACACCGAGCTAAACACAAAGTCTGGGGTCGCAAAAAATTAAGGTTACAGTAACCTAAATTTGATATATTGGTGTAGACTTGAACTCTTCAAAACATTTCCAAATACCGTATGAAGTTTGAAGACTTTGGACTTCTTGAGAGAATGAAGAATAATGGAGCTAAAAGTAAAATTCTAACTAAACTGTTTTACGGGATGATGGAAAAACCAAACACTAAATGGCCCTTTACTAAGTTGCTCTATTCGGTACAAACATCACCTCGACGCTCCATCACCTCACAGCTCTATTGGGTACAAATATCACCCCACAGCTCTATGGGTACAAGCCGTGAGAGAATATGTAACTTTTACCAATGATTGGCCCTTACCTGTTTTGAACTTATGCTTCACCGTTGCTGGTTTGTCTTTACACTGTGACAAAATCTCCATGGTGATCTTGTAAGCACCTATCAGGGTTTCTTTCTGTAAATAAAATTCTTTATTATAATCTGAAACAGTGTTGTTTGCCTGCGTATACCTCTTGATGGATTTTATTTGTAATTTTTCAGTTCAAAGCGATCTTCTAAGATCAAGAATTGACTTGAAATTGAATATCAAGCAAAATATCAATTATGTTCTTCCAGGCAAAATCATCTGATAAATTTGACCTAGCACCTCAAATTCTGGCTGATGAATTTGGCCTTTAGTTACATTTATCCTAGCCAAATCAGCTGATGAACTTGACCTAGTTGCTTACATTCTGGCCAAATTAGCTGAAGTACTTGACCTTTATTTACATATATCCCAGCCAAATCAGCTGATGAACTTGACCTAGTTGCTTACATTCTGGCCAAATTAGCTGATGTACTTGACCTTTATTTACATATATCCCAGCCAAATCAGCTGATGAACTTGACCTAGTTACTTACTTCCTCGCCACACCAGCAGATGAACTGGACCTTAGTTATGTGTACATATATCCTTGCCAAATCAGCAGATAAACTTGACCTAGTTACTTACATCCTGGCCACACCAGTTGATGAACTCAGCGATGATATCATCTTGTTTGAGCTGTAAGTTAAATGCTCCCTCCCACTCAGGCTCGTACTCCAGGTGGGTACCGGTCTGTCGGATGACTGCATCCATACTCTGTAACACACAACCTCTATATACAAACACTACCACAGGCTTTTAATTTTCATTCAAAAACTCTTTTTACAGGTAAGATTTCCGCTCAATTTTCTAAAAACATTGTTTTTCATTTTTTTTTTTGATACATTAAATAATGCTTGATAGTTTAGTAAACGGTATCAATCTGTATTAAGTCTCTGCAAATTGTTATATATCACAATTTATTCAATATACACATGTTTTGCTGTAGGAAAGTAGGAAACAACCCTAACATTGATGACTTATCATTAATCCATGGAGATGACAGTGGATTTTTATTTCCTTTGAGCTATTTTTCTTCCAAAATGTGAGTTATGTATTAACCACTGGTTATATTATGCCACTTGAGGATTGGGTATCATATGAAAATTACTTACCTGCATCATTTTGAGAAGAGACAGGAAAGATCGTAAACCCTTGAGGAAATTTTCTCTCAACTTATCTGTCCACTCCTCCTCTGATGGTTTACAGGTGAGGGCATATCTGTGTAATTAATTCAATTTCATATTCACAACATGCCTGAAACATCTTTTAACAATGAAAGTATTGAAAACATACTTATGACATCTAAAAACTGTCTTTCTTTAGATTTTACCAGGTTCTTTTGAAGGTCATGCTATATATATATATATAAAAATATTGATTTTTAAAAGCAAAATAAAATAATCATAGCAACAGCTGTTCATGCCAGATGTTTTTTTTAAATACATAGAATTTCATTATTGGAATTATATCATTTAAAAATATCATACAGTATGAAGCAGGCTCTGATCCTAAGAAGCTAACTTGATATAACATTTACTTTATATCATACAGAAGTAACACACTCCCATCCTGAGACATCTACTTTATATGACACTTATTTCATATCATAATACATGTAGCAGGCTCCAATCTACAGATATCAACTTTATATGACACCTACTTCATATCATAATAAATGTAGTAGGCTCAAATTTACAAACATCAACTTTATCTAACACTTATTTCATATCATACAGCATGTAGCAGGCTCAAATTTACAGACGACATCAACTTTATCTAACACTTACTTCATATCATAAAACATGTAGCAGGCTCAAATTTACAGACGACATCAACTTTATCTAACACTTACTTCATATCATAAAACATGTAGCAGGCTCAAATTTACAGACGACATCAACTTCATTTAACACTAACTTCATATCATAAAACATGTAGCAGGCTCAAATTTAAAGACGACATCAACTTCATTTAACACTAACTTAATATCATAAAACATGAAGCAGGCTCAAATTTTCAGACGACATCAACTTTAACTAACACTTACTTCACATCATAAAACATGTAGGAGGCTCAAATTTACAGCGGACATCAACTTTATCTAACACTTTATTCATATCATAAAACATGTAGGAGGCTCAAATTTACAGCGGACATCAACTTTATCTAACACTTTATTCATATCATAAAACACGTAGCAGGCTCAAATGTACAGATGACATCAACTTTATCTAACCCTTACTTCATATCATATAACATGTAGCAGGCTTAAATTTACAGACGACATCAACTGTATCTAACACTTACTTCATATCACAAAACATGTAGCAGGCTTAAATTTACAGACGACATCAACTTTATCTAACACTTACTTCATATCATACAGCATGTAGCAGGCTCTCTTAAAAGCTTGATTCCTATCCCCACGGTCAAAAGCCAGCTTCCCCTCGTCTGTGAAACAAATCAATCAAGGTAGCGATAATTACAACAGGAAGTTTACAAATGTTGTCATAAAAACTTTGATATTTTCTTATTCAACAGCCGATTATAAAGCTGATCTGTTGGAATTGAAAATTTGTTAAAAATGTTTGCGCTCTTTTTGCCAGGTAAGCTATAATAGCACCTTCAGTGAGTATTGACACTACATGTTATACAACGCATAAGCCAACAATAGGATTTAATGTATTTAATTGTAATCTGACATTAACCTTGGAAACAGAGACACATAATGATTATCAAAAGGACATTTTGCTGACTATGGAACACATTTAGAATGTGTAGTTTTTTTCTTGATGATGTATACTATAATATACCTTATCATTAAAGTCCATATACCGTGCCCACTTATATTTTGTCAACTCCCATTCAACAAAGGAATAGCTATATAGAGTTTGTTAAGTATCAATGATAGCCTTTCATTTTCTATATCATACATGTCTAACAAAATGAGCCTTTCTGATACGTTTTTGATCACAGGGATCCTTACGAAAAATATATGGCAAACTTGGTAAAATCAGGTCATCATGCAACAAATATTGTAGTATTCTTCGTAAAATCTCTTTCAATACAATTTTGTTTTGAAATGACAATTGTTTCATGAAAAATCTTTCTGGTTCCTTTTTGGAAAAATGCAGTGATAAATGCCCTAACTCACTATTTTTCTTCTCCTCACAACACTTGAGGAAGGACTGCATAATGACATCAAGCAGGTTGTGTTCCGTAACCAACATCCGTGCCTGTCAATCACAACCAACATTTATCTCCCTTGATAAAAACTCAAACACAACATCAATACAATATTGGATACCAGTATAACTATACTATTAATTAGTAATAAATAAATCGAGTTCAGATCCATGTATAATAAACTGAACAGATATATAACGAAAAATGACAGCCAAATAATTTCAAAATTCAGTACTGTATAGGTAATATATAAATGTTAAACTGAGAAATAATAATATTTAAACAAAACAAAATTTATATTTTACAAATTAAAAAAACCAACATTGAAACAGGTATTAATCTACGATTTTGGTGGACACTAATTTTTTGCAGATTTTGTGAAAAAAATCTTTATTACAGAATATTTCAGAAAAGCTATGGTCATTGCATGGTGATTTGTCTTTCTTGAAATGTAAATTATTTTCAGACTGAGAAAAAAACATTACAAAACTGATGCTTTTCCATGAAAATATACTTAAACAATATTGTCTGAATCAGTCAATAATGGTAACAATCAATTTGTTGTAATCAGTATATATATATACAGTTTTTTATGCAAAGTTCAAGAGAAATCAAATTTTTGTTTTTTAAGAATAAAATGTTGAGGGGAAACTGCTTGTAATGATTGTTAACCTAGCTTAATCCCTGCAAGATGTATTTTTTAGTTGCAAACATCATACTGGATATTGCTATTATCATCGTGTTGTAATATTGTGATCATCAATATAATACAAACAAGAGTACCTAGAATGATACAAAATACACCTACAACTGACAATATCAAACATAATACAAGTAATGAATGAAAGGTAGTATCTTATACAGAATCATTAATGTTTTGTTCTGGAAGGTGATTTTTTTTTTTTTATAAATCTTGAATACTGCATATTTTGTGCACAGGTAATCAACATTTTATGTGTAGGAATTGACCTTAAATGACCCAGACCTATGACAGAATGACTCAAAATTAACAAGTTTTCTGATGATGAAGTTTAAGTGAGTGCAGGTAATCTAAAAATGATCCATTCCCGGAACAGAATGACTCAAATTCAGTATAGGTGAAAGTTTCACCCAAACCAAGTGTGTTTTCTATAATTATAACTACAAGAATTTCTATGAAGATGACATCAAAATTAGTGCAGCTATTGGGCTGAAATCATCACCCAATCGGATTGAAAGAATGAACCCTGGAATGATTTGCTGAAAAAATTATAGATGTCTACCTCTTACAAGTGAATTTACTACAATTTCATGATATAATACAAACTAACTTTCTGTCCAAATAGTTTTCAATTTACAGGCTAATGACTCATATAAGATATATGGTGAAAATACAGCATGAAGTATGCAACATGCTGTACATAGATAGCTTCAGTAAACAAGCTATCTCATTATTTTGATTACATGGGATTCATTATAAACCTGCTTTACTGTGCATATGGAAATATTCACAACTATCTATGGTGTAACCTGTATAATCCAAAACCTGAGAATGCCAACGTATCTTTAATATAACATAATACTGTTATCCTATTTCTAATGGGTTTTCTTTTCTTTTTTTTTTAAAGAACTGCATATTCCGATATCCTGTCTTATTTTACTGATGACTTGTGTTCCACAGGGTATTGGATTATACTGGTTTCATTGTAATTCAAACCGTTACTGCATTCAAACATAGACAGGAACATTACAAAATACAAACATGAAGACTAATTTACATGTAGGATAAAATGCCACATATTTTGTACTTTGTTATTACCGATCTTACAAGAAATGATGGATATGGTTACCGAGAGCCTGACCTACAAACAAGATTATTTGTAGCCTTGCTTTGTTGACATACCAATGTTGGGACTGTAAATATTTGTACAGAGAGAGAGGTAATGGACACTGAGCGATAGTGGTCGTCCCGAATAAAATCCCTCACCAACGTTGCGTAATGCTAAAAAGTAAGAAAAAAGTAGAGCACATTTCATCAGGATTTTAAAGATAAGCTGTACAAAGAGTAATTTAATACTGCCGTCCAGGACTGAAAACAAAACAAAACACAGGTGATGTAAGCTTGTCTGCCTAAGGTCATGACCTCATACAAACCAAGGTCAACAAATGACACACATATTACTGCAGTACAACCACTGGTACTAATTAAACAGGTACTGCAGAGGTTACCTGCTCTATTATCATACCACCTGAAGAGAACATAATTAAATGTATCTCAATATCTTTTGTTACCATTTAAAAACAGTAAGTAAATTAATAAGTCAGTAATTGAGTGGTTGTTTTAGTTTAAGCATTGAAATAAAGAGCAGTGGCCATTGACTGGTATTGTGTGTGTCAGACCTAGACAGCCAGCCTACACCAGCAAGGGAGACAATCCAAGGGAGACAGCGACATATGACCTACCAGACTGGTTACCGTAAAGATTTGCACAGAGAGGGAGGCTACACACACATCGTGGTCATGATCGTCCCGTGTAAAGTCACTCATCAATTGTCTGTACCACTGTCAACACAGGCAACACATAGTATCATAAAGGGGACAGCCAACATTTCATCCTAGTACAGGCAGCAGGTGTTCAGCTGGGCAGCGTCACTCACACACTACCCTAGTACAGGCAGCAGGTGTTCAACCAGGCATCATCACTCACACACTTCCCTAGTACAGACAGCAGGTGTTCAACCAGGCATCATCACTCACACACTACCCTAGTGCAGACAGCAGGTGTTCAACCTGGCAGCGTCACTCACACACTACCCTAGTACAGACAGCAGGTGTTCAACCTGGCATCATCACTCACACACTACCCTAGTACAGACAGTAGTTGTTCAACCAGGCATCCCCACTGACCCTCTACTCTAGTACAGACAGCAGGTGTACAACCAGGCATATCATCAGTCACACACTACCCTAGTACAGACAGCAGGCGTACACCCTGGCATCATCAGTCACACACTACCCTAGTACAGACAGTAGTTGTTCAACCAGGCATCCCCACTGACCCTCTACTCTAGTACAGACAGCAGGTGTACAACCAGGCATATCATCAGTCACACACTACCCTAGTACAGACAGTAGGTGTTCAACCAGGCATCATCACTCACACACTGCCCTAGTGCAGACAGCAGGTGTTCAACCTGGCAGCGTCACTCACACACTACCCTAGTACAGACAGGAGGTGTTCAACCAGGCATCATCACTCACACACTTCCTTGGTACAGACAGCAGGTGCTCAACCTGGCATCATCACTCACACACTACCCTAGTACAGACAGCAGGCGTACAACCTGGCATCATCAGTCACACACTACCCTAGTACAGACAGTAGTTGTTCAACCAGGCATCACCACTGACACTCTACTCTAGTACAGACAGCAGGTGTACAACCAGGCATCATCGCTCACACACTTCTCAGACAGCAGGTGTACAACCAGGCACCATCAGTCACACACTTCCCTAGTACAGACAGTAGTTGTTCAACCAGGCATCAACACTGGCACTCTACTCTATTACAAACAGCAGGTGTTCAACCAGGCAATGTCACTCACACACTACCCTAGTACAGACAGCAGGTGTACAACCAGGCACCATCAGTCACACACTACCCTAGTACAGACAGCAGGTGTTCCACCAGGCATCATCACTCACACACTTCCTTGGTACAGACAGCAGGTGTTCAACCTGGCGTCATCACTCACACACTACCCTAGTACAGACAGCAGGTGTTCAACCAGGCATCATCACTGTCACACTACCCTAGTACATACAGCAGGTGCTAGCAGGTGTTCAACCAGGCATCATCACTCACACACTACCCTAGTACAGACAGTAGTTGTTGAACCAGGCATCACCACTGACACTCTACTCTAGTACAGACAGCAGGTGTACAACCAGGCATATCATCAGTCACACACTACCCTAGTACAGACAGCAGGTGTTCCACCAGGCATCATCACTCACACACTTCCTTGGTACAGACAGCAGGTGGTCAACCTGGCATCATCACTCACACACTACCCTAGCACAGACAGCAGGTGTACAACCAGGCATCATCACTCACACACTTCTCTAGTATAGACAGCAGGTGTTCAACCAGGCATCATCCCTCACAACACACTACCCTAGTACAGACAGCAGGTGTCCAACCTGGCATCATCACTCACACACGACCCTAGTACAGACAGCAGGTGTTCAACCAGGCAACTTCACTCACACACTACCCTAGCACAGACAGCAGGTGTACAACCAGGCATCATCACTCACACACTTCTCTAGTATAGACAGCAGGTGTTCAACCAGGCATCATCACTCACACACTACCTTAGTACAGACAGCAGGTGTACAACCAGGCATCATCGCTCACACACTTCTCTAGTACAGACAGCAGGTGTTCAACTAGGCATCATCACTCACACACTACCTTAGTATAGACAGCAGGTGTTCAACCAGGCATCATCACTCACACTCTTCCCTAGTACAGACAGCAGGTGTTCAACCAGGCATCATCACTCACACACTACCTTAGTACAGACAGCAGGTGTTCAACCAGGCATCATCACCCACACACTTCCCTAGTACAGACAGCAGGTGTTCAACCAGGCACCATCAGTCTCACACTACCCTAGTACAGACAGCAGGTGGTCAACCACACATCATCACTCACACACTACCCTAGTACAAACAGCAGGTGTTCAACCAGGCAGCGTCATTCAAACACTGCCCTAGTACAGACAGCAGGTGTTCAACCAGGTACAGGCATCACCACTGGCACTCTACTCTATTACAGACAGCAGGTGTTCAACCAGGCAACGTCACTGACACACTACCCTAGTACAGACAGCAGGTGGTCAACCAGGCATCATCACTCACACACTTCCCTAGTACAAACAGCAGGTGTCCAACCTGGCATCATCACTCACACACTACCCTAGTACAGACAGCAGGTGTTCAACCAGGCAACTTCACTCACACACTACCCTAGCACAGACAGCAGGTGTACAACCAGGCACCATCAGTCACACACTCCCCTAGTACAGACAGCAGGTGTTCAACCAGGCACCATCAGTCACACACTACCCTAGTACGGACAGCAGGTGTTCAACCAGGCATCATCACTCACACCCTACCCTAGTACAGACAGCAGGTGTTCAACCAGGCAGCGTCACTCACACACTTCCCTAGCACAGACAGCAGGTGTACAACCAGGCACCATCAGTCACACACTACCCTAGTACGGACAGCAGGTGTTCAACCAGGCATCATCACTCACACACTACTCTAGTACAGACTTCCCTAATACAGACAGCAGGTGTTCAACCAGGCATCATCATTGACACACTACCCTAGTACATACAGCAGGTGCTCAACCAGTACAGACAGCAGGTGTACAACCAGGCATCATCACTCACACACTTCTCTAGTACAGACAGCAGGTGTTCAACCAGGCATCATCATTGACACACTACCCTAGTACATACAGCAGGTGCTCAACCAGTACAGACAGCAGGTGTACAACCAGGCATCATCACTCACACACTACCTTAGTATAGAGGTGTTCAACCAGGCATCATCACTCACACACTACTCTAGTACAGACTTCCCTAATACAGACAGCAGGTGTTCAACCAGGCATCATCATTGACACACTACCCTAGTACATACAGCAGGTGCTCAACCAGTACAGACAGCAGGTGTACAACCAGGCATCATCACTCACACACTACCTTAGTACAGACAGCAGGTGTACAACCAGGCATCAACAGTCACACACTTCCCTAATACAGACAGCAGGTGTTCAACCAGGCATCATCACTGACACACTACCCTAGTACATACAGCAGGTGCTCAACCAGGCATCATCACTCACATACTACCCTAGTACAGACAGCAGGTGTTCAACCAGGCATCATCACTCACACACTACCTTAGTACAGACAGCAGGTGTACAACCAGGCATCATCGCTCACACACTTCTCTAGTACAGACAGCAGGTGTTCAACCAGGCATCACCACTGACACTCTACTCTAGTAAAGACAGCAGGTGGTCAACCAGGCATCATCACTCACACACTTCCCTAGTACAGACAGCAGGTGTACAACCAGGCATCATCAGTCACGCACTTCTCTAATACAGACAGCAGGTGTTCAACCAGGCATCACCACTGACACTCTACTCTAGTACAGACAGCAGGTGGTCAACCAGGCATCATCAGTCACACACTACCTTAGTACAGACAGCAGGTGTTCAACCAGGCATCATCACTCACACACTTCCCTAGTACAGACAGCAGGCGTACAAGGCATCATCACTCACACACTACTTTAGTACAGACAGCAGGTATACAACAAGGCATCACCACTGACGCTCTACTCTCGCACAGACAGCAGGTGTACAACCAGGCATCATCAGTCACGCACTTCTCTAATACAGACAGCAGGTGGTCAACCAGGCATCATCAGTCACACACTTCCTTAGTACAGACAGCAGGTGTTCAACCAGGCATCATCCCTCACACACTACCTTAGTATAGACAGCAGGTGTTCAACCAAGCATCATCACTCACACACTTCCCTAGTACAGACAGCAGGCGTACAAGGCATCATCACTCACACACTACTTTAGTACAGACAGCAGGTATACAACAAGGCATCACCACTGACGCTCTACTCTAGTACAGACAGCAGGTGTACAACCAGGCATCATCAGTCACACACTACCCCAGTGCAGACAGCAGGTGTTCAACCTGGCATCATCACTCCCACACTACCCTATTACAGACAGCAGGGGTACAACCAGGCATCATCAGTCACACACTACCCCAGTGCAGACAGTAGGTGTTCAACCTGGCATCATCACTCACACACTACCCTAGTAGACAGCAGGTGTACAACCCGGCATCATCAGTCACACACTACCCCAGTGCAGACAGCAGGTGTTCAACCAGGCATCACCACTGACACTTTACTCTAGTACAGACAGCAGGTGTACAACCAGGCATCATCAGTCACACACAACCCCAGTGCAGACAGCAGGTGTTCAACCTGGCATCATCACTCACACACTACCCTAGTACAGACAGCATGTGTACAACCAGGCATCATCACTCACACACTTCCCTAATACAGACAGCAGGTGTTCAACCAGGCATCATCACACACACTACTCTATTAGAGACAGCAGGTGTTCAACCAGGCATCATCACTCACACACTACCCTAGTACAGACAGCAGGTGCTCAACCAGGCATCATCACTCACTCACTACCCTAGTACAGACAGCAGGTGTTCAACCAGGCATCATCACTCACACACTTCCCTAGTACAGACAGCAGCATACAGCAGGTGCTCAACCAGGCATCATCACTCACACACTTCCCTAGTACAGACAGCAGGCGGACAACAAGGCATCATCACTAACACACTACCCTGGTACAGACAGCAGGTGTACAACCAGGCATCTTCACTCACACACTTCCCTAGTACAGACAGCAGGCGGACAACAAGGCATCATCACTAACACACTACCCTGGTACAGACAGCAGGTGTACAACCAGGCATCATCACTCACACACTTCCCTAGTACAGACAGCAGGCGTACAACAAGGCATCATCACTAACACACTACCCTGGTACAGACAGCAGGTGTACAACCAGGCATCATCACTCACACACTACTCTAGTACAGACAGGTGTTTAACCAGGCAACATCAGCATATATCATGTTCTTTGCACAAATCATATCTGTACAAATATGCCAGCATCATTAGTTCAAGCATAAAAATATACAAGAGAAAATAACTGTTCGTATATCACATACTAAAAGATTTTTGTAAATGGCACTCATCTCAGCAAATGTCTTAAAAAATCTAAACCGAGCGGTGCATGGTTATAATTAGTATTAAAAACGAGTGTCAAATTGAATGTTTAATGCAAGTAATAACTAGCAGCTAATATTGTGTCATGCTTCATGAACAAATCCTAGAAAAGAATGTGCTGTCAATAAAAATTGTTTCTCATAATATCATGAAGATCATTTAAACATGTTTTTCTAAACTACAAAAAAATTGATAAACATGTAGCTGTAAATACATGAATAGGTGAAAATTGAAATGACTGAGAATTTAATAACCTATATAAGAAATACATGTTTTCACTCTGCAAAACCAAACACTATAATTGAACATCTCTTTTTTCAGGTTGAACATTGTAAAAATCTACAGAGTCTAATTTTCAATCCATATCTGGTTCCAGAAAGTTCAATTAGCGACCCCTCTTCCTTGTTTAATGACAGTTTTTTTGATGGAACATGGTAGACAGATTTTCCTTTATTTTGTAAATCAATCACTGATTTAAACTGTTATACAATGTTATTACAAGCCAAAGCAAACACCAACTGATCAAACATAAAAAGCATGCACTCTCTCAAATTTAACCCATGTAATGGGCACCATATCTCGTACATAATCTGTATCAGATCAATTACACCATATCTCGTAGATAATCTGTATCAGAACAATTACACCATATCTCGAACATAATCTGTATCAGATCGATTACACCATATCTCCTACATAATCTGTATCAGATAAATTACACCATATCTCGTACATAATCTGTATCAGATCAATTACAGTCTGCTAAGAAAGCATCTATATCTTAGACATTCATCTAAAGGATAAATAGAATTAATTCATCCATAATATATTTCAAGGAAAATCAATAAGAAACCAAATTAACATAATATATTTCAAGGAAAATCAATAAGAAATCAAAATATAAGATCAAGTAAATGCCATTTGACCAATTTGAAACTATAATTATTAATTTCATTATAATAAAAAAGAAAGATTTTTTTTTTTTGAAAAATAGAAAGTGTACAAGTCACGCTATGGATGACATTTCCACAAAGTAAACCTATCATTTGTGTTCTGGTAAATTCTGTTCAAATAGTAACAAGTTTACACTTATTAACTGCTATTAATTAATAGAGATACAATTATTACATAATTATGTCATTAATTTAATTTTCAAAAAGAACTGCAACCCGGCCTATAGGTCCTTTTGAATAAATTTACCCCTATAAAAATGGATGCTGTGAATGTGGTAAGACTTACCTTGGTGAAGAGAATAGCAAACTGTTTTTTACACTCCAGATCCATTAACACACTGTAACAAATAACATATGCTTGCATAAATATATTTCCAGAAACATTGCTCAATTTAACCAAATTCTGATTCAAACTGTTCCTCTATGACATACTATGGTGTATAATCTGGCAAAATCACATTCACATTCCATAGAAATTGATTTCATCTTCTAACTAATCAATGGAAAACCAAACAGAAGTGATATAAAATGTAAACTTACCCTGCCATGATAAGTTGGTGGTTGTTTACCCTCGCCACTGCAACAAAATGTGACACTATTTTTAAAATAGTTCTTCGTATATAGAAATTCTTTTATTGCTACTTTTAAAAAACTTTTCTTCAAAACATGCTATTTTTTATTTCTATTAACAGTTTTCATTTTACACTTTGAACTAACATCAATGCATATTCATTCCTTCATATTTTAATGATAATACCAGGTAAATACAACTATTAAGTTTGGTACAAATAACTTCCTCATTAATTTGGGTTCTTTTTAAGCTTTATTTTCAGACACTAATGTTGATATTTTATGAATATTGAAACTTTTTTGACCTGTTAATCCGGAAGAAAACTTGTAATTTTATTTTTGAAATAGGCTTTTTCTATTATCACTAATTTCTCTGGTACTGATGACACTCGGAGACAGATGTATGAGGTTTTTACCTTTCCACAGCTGTGTATCAATCAGAAGGAGCTTCTCCATGATAGACTGGCCGTCCTCCTGGGGCTGCATGCTCAGGACACAGAACAAGTGGCGTAGTCCATCTGAGGACAGAACACAGTATCACATACAGCAATCTAGTAGTGACAGAACACATTATCACATACAGCAATCTAGTAGGGACAGAACACATTATCACATACAGCAATCTAGTAGGGACAGAACATATTATAACATACAGCAATCTAGTAGGGACAGAACATATTATAACATACAGCAATCTAGTAGGGACAGAACATATTATAACATACAGCAATCTAGTAGGGACAGAACATGTTATAACATACAGCAATCTAGTAGTGAAAGAAGATATTATAACATACAGCAATCTAGTAGGGACAGAACATATTATCACATACAGCAATCTAGTAGGGAAAGAAGATATTATAACATACAGTAATCTAGTAGGGACAGAACACATTATTCACATACAACAATCTAGTAGGGACAGAAAACATTATAACATACAGCAATCTAGTAGGTACAGAACACATTATCACATACAACAATCTAGTAGGGTCAGTACACATTATCACATACAGCAATCTACTAGGGACAGAACAAATTATCACATACAGCAATCCAGTAGGGACAGAACACATTATCACATGCAGCGATCTAGTAGGGACAAGACACATTATCGCATACAGCGATCTAGTAGGGACAGAACATGTTATAACATACCGCAATCTAGTAGGGACAGAACATATTATAACATACAGCAATGTAGAAGGGACAGAACATGTTATAACATACCGCAATCTAGTAGGGACAGAACATATTATAAAATACAGCAATCTAGTAGGGATAGAACATGTTATAACATACAGCAATCTGGTAGTGAAAGAAGATATTATAACATGCAGCAATCTAGTAGGGACAGAACATATTATAAAATACAGCAATCTAGTAGGGATAGAACATGTTATAACATACAGCAATCTGGTAGTGAAAGAAGATATTATAACATGCAGCAATCTAGTAGGGACAGAACATATTATAAAATACAGCAATCTAGTAGGGATAGAACACATTGTCACATACAGCAATCTAGTAGGGACAGAAAATAGTATCACATACAGCGATCTAGTAGGGACAAGACACATTATCGCATACAGCGATCTAGTAGGGACAGAACATGTTATAACATACAGCAATCTGGTAGTGAAAGAAGATATTATAACATGCAGCAATCTAGTAGGGACAGAACATGTTATAACATACCGCAATCTAGTAGGGACAGAACATATTATAAAATACAGCAATCTAGTAGGGATAGAACACATTATCACATACAGCAATCCAGTAGGGACAGAACACATTATCACATGCAGCGATCTAGTAGGGACAAGACACATTATCACATACAGCAATCTAGAAGGGACAAAACATATTATAACATACAGCAATCTAGTAGGGATAGAACATGTTATAACGTACAGCAATCTAGTAGGGACAGAACATGTTATAGCATACAGCAATCTAGTAGTGAAAGAAGATAATATAACATACAGCAATCTAGTAGGGACATAACATTTTATCACATACAGCAATCTAGTAGGGACAGAAAATAGTATCACATACAGCAATCTAGAAGGGACAGAAAATAGTATCACATACAGCGATCTAGTAGGGACAGAACACAATCACATACAACAATCTAGTAGGGACAGAACCCATTATCACATACAGCGATCTAGTAGGGACAGAACACATTATTCACATACAACAATCTAGTAGGGACAGAACATGTTAAAACATACAGCAATCTAGTAGGGACAGAAAATAGTATCACATACAGCGATCTAGTAGGGACAGAACATGTTATCACATACAACAATCTAGTAGGGTCAGTACACATTATCACATACAGCAATCTAGAAGGGACAGAAAATAGTATCACATACAGCGATCTAGTAGGGACAAGACACATTATCACATACAGCAATCTAGAAGGGACAGAAAATAGTATCACATACAGCAATCTAGAAGGGACAGAAAATAGTATCACATACAGCAATCTAGTAGCGACAGAACATGTTATCACATACAGCAATCTAGAAAGGACAGAACACATTATAACATACAACAATCTAGTAGGGACAGAACCCATTATCACATACAGCGATCTAGTAGGGACAAGACACATTATCGCATACAGCGATCTAGTAGGGACAGAACATGTTATAACATACAGCGATCTAGTAGTGAAAGAAGATATTATAACATGCAGCAATCTAGTAGGGACAGAACATATAATAACATACAGCAATCTAGTAGGGACATAACACATTATCGCATACAGCAATCTAGTAGGGACAGAGCAGAGTATCACATACAGCAATCTAGTAGCGACAGAACATGTTATCACATACAGCAAGCTAGTAGGGACAGAACACATTATCACATGCAGCGATCTAGTAGGGACAAGACACATTATCAGTAGTGACAGAACACATTATCACATACAGCGATCTAGTAGGGACAGAACACATTATTCACATACAACAATCTAGTAGGGACAGAACATGTTATAGCATACAGCAATCTAGTAGTGAAAGAAGATAATATAACATACAGCAATCTAGTAGGGACAGAAAATGTTATAACATACAGCAATCTAGTAGGGATAGAACATATTATAACATACAGCAATGTAGAAGGGACAGAACATGTTATAACATACCGCAATCTAGTAGGGACAGAACACATCATCACATACAGCAATCTAGTAGGGATAGAACACATTATCACATACAGCAATCCAGTAGGGACAGAACATGTTATCACATACTAACATACAGCAATCTAGTAGTGAAAGAAGATATTATAACAAACAGCAATCTAGTAGGGACAGAACACATTATTCACATACAACAATCTAGTAGGGACAGAACCCATTATCACATACAGCGATCTAGTAGGGACAGAACACATTATTCACATACAACAATCTAGTAGGGACAGAACACATTATCGCATACAACAATCTAGTAGGGACATAACATATTATCACATACAGCAATCTCGAAGGGACAGAACATATTATAACATACAGCAATGTAGAAGGGACAGAACATGTTATAACATACCGCAATCTAGTAGGGACAGAACATATAATAACATACAGCAATCTAGTAGGGAAAGAACACAGTATCACATACAGCAATCTAGTAGGGACAGAAAACGGTATCACATACAGCAATTTAGTAGAGTACATAAGGCTTTTGGAGACATAACACAATATTCCACATAGCAATGTGGTAGAGTACAGAAGCTGTTAGGGGACAGAACACATACAACATTATAAAATACAACAATCTAACAGACTACCTTACAATAAGTCCAGCTTCAACTCAAAATGCCAATAAGAATGATCAAATACAGTGAAATTTGCTTGTGTCGACCTTGGAAGCAATTCAGGCTACTAGGGTGTTAGAGAAACCAGACTTTTGTCTTCTTTTAATCTTTTAACTAACTATATTTTAAACATGCAGATTGTGGATTATATATAGGATATGATATTTTTTGTGGACAGAACATGGTAAGTACAACATACAACTCCTAAAACTGAACATCTAAATTTACTGAATGATCTGTAGGTCTTATACCTGTACTTTGCATATGAAATAATTTTGTGTTTTTCACTGTCTTTGTGTGACTGTTATATTACCTGACTTAGCAATGATGGTCTGCAACCACTGGATGACTTTCAAGGCAAATGCCTGGTGGGCTACCACGATAGTGTGCATCACCTGTACCTTCAGGGGCTTGTTACCATGACGGGAGGTGTTATGCTGTTGAAAATGTAACTTGGTTATTGGTTGGTAATTACATAAGTTACAAAATGCTACCTCAAAAATACGAATATGTGCACCTTTAAATTTGTGACTTATTATTTATAACGTCCCCAGTCTTCGGTGACTAAAATTCATTTCGGGTTTAATTGAAGATGTAGTTTCATTTTTTTGTGAAATTAAGGCAAGCTGTTGCCAAACTGTACAAAGTAATTGTTTATCTGGTGATGACGTGTAATACATTGTATATCTGCCAAGCTCTGTAAATGGTAAGTAAATAGGTGCTGTTATTTCCTTACCTCTATTACATTGCGAGCTTTTTCACAAGAAGAAAAATTGCCACTCCTCACATTGCTTCTTCCCTGTAATGAAAGCACTCAGTTTAAAATAAGACTTCTTCCCTGTAATGAAAGCACTCAGTTTAAAATAAGACTTCTTCCCTGTAATGAAAGCACTCAGTTTAAAATAAGACTAACAACATTTTTTTGTAAAACTTTTGAAGAAATGAATACCAAGGAATCATTCAAAATTTTGTTTAACTGCGTTGTTAATTAGATTAATTTCCAATACATTATATCATTAGGACTTTTGTGTAAAACACTTGAATTACCTCTCTGTCCACAGTGGTAGCGAACTCGACAGCCTCTTTCTGGGTACAATCCACAGCCCTCTGTAGAGCGACGATCACCTGGGTCAATGTGAGCAAGGTCTGGCATGAGTAACAATGAGTTATAGCAATAATAACCACTTTCTCCTACAAAGCTTAACACAATCAGACTATTACCGTCTTTAGGCTTGTTTCTTTCTAGTAATAATATTATCTGTATTTAATTAAATTATGGAAATAAATTCCACACTCATTTTTACTTACTAGGTTATTAAAATATAACTTTCATTTGATTTGTCATTTCAGAATTCTGTCATTTCAAAGATTCCTTGAACATTCCTTTTGAAAATTTGAACTAAATATATCAACTTTGACACAAGGATAGGGGAATCAGGACCACACCAACTATGGGGGTAGAGTTTGGTATAAAAAGTCAGCACACACATAAGGTGCAGTTTTAAGGTAAGCAACTAAGGACATGAAGGGAATCATTTCAGCTTTGATTCACACTTGCTGGGAGCAAGGTGACAAACCTGTTCGTAAGTGTGAACTTCATCGTTGAATAGCATGGTGATGTAGCTGTCTTCGAGTTCTCCCTCCGGCTGGAGGTCTGGGGGCAGGTTGTCACACTGGTCCCATGTCAGCATCTCCATCGTGTAACGCAGCACGGCCATCAGTAGGGCACTGGCTCGGTCTGTTAGCTCATCTGGCAGCTTCTCCATAGGGTTCTGGAAGTAGCCACATACTTACACAGGCAACAGCTCTTCACATTGTATTTTATCATTTGACCAAAATCAGTATTTTCTAGAATCATCACATCTTTTACATATCAGATGAAACAACTTTTTCAAAATTGAATCTAACATTTTTCAGTGTTTTGTTAATTAAGGCTTCTCTTATCAGAAAAACTATCAATTAAAGGTAAGTACAATTGCCCATACGAAATTAAGTTTTGAACATTATCTAGAAAAATAAAGACAATGAAAAGTTCAGAAGTTTATGTATCTCTCATAGAACATTCAATTTGTCAGTGAATCCTTCATTAAATCATATCATTTTATAGAGCATAAGTCTAGAAACAATTTTATCACAAACAAATCACCATTTTCTGTAGATACAAGGGGATGAAAAAAGAGTATACAGACCTCCCCTCCAGAGGTTTCCTGCTGTTTAGCCTTGTGGTTACTACAGAATGGTGCGGTCTTCCAGGCTTCACTGTCGCCACAGTCACAGTACCCACCTCCCCCTGAGGTACTCATCTGGAAGTGTAATAGATTAGCCCATTTAACATCAGAATAACAAAAAGAAAGGTAATGTTTGATGGTAGCTACTTGTTAGATACAAAAGTAAATTACAACAGCATAATTGCTGTAATGATTAAAATGTTATTTAAAAATCTTCATGTTTTTTATTATTATTTAGTAAAAGGAAAGAAGTCGAAAAACAACCTTTGTTTCCCGAACAAGAACTCAGAGTTTTTGTATCCGAAGTATGTTTTCAAAAATATCAATCTTTAGATATGCCCTTATTTTCCAACCAACCTGCATATCTTTCAGTATCAAAACAAAGGACAATAAGAAGGAATACCCTACTGTGAAAACCTTATTGGCTCTAGTCTATCCTGTGACTTTTGGCTTGAAATATATACAAGAGAATTTAACATAATGCATAGAATTGTAGAACTGCAATTATGTGTACCTTGTATCTGTGTTTCTTGTGAGCACTTTTTTGGAAACAGTCTATGCACAGAACACATGTCGGGTCATTGGCACAATCCCTGAAACAATACATGTAGATTGATAAATCATGCAAAACGCTGTAAGTCTGAAGCAAACATGTAATGTACAATTACGTATTTCTGATCATTTATAGCGACTGACTGCAAATTCAGCAGTACAGTAATAGTTCTTTTCTGCTGTAAAGTAAACTTGCAGGTACCCCAGATCCAAATTCCACAATGTGCTTAATGGCATTTTCACCCCTAGCATGAACACAAACCATCACAAATTAAATCTGTTTTTAAATGTGCTTGAATTTTGAATAATATGATTAATTATTTTATGGAAGCAATAATGTAACTACCAACACTAACTAATTATAACATGTCAGAGAATATATGTCACAAATCTATACAACTATCTTTCCATTAAGAATACAGTTAAGACTAACATGTACATGTCTGTACCACAAAACTGAGCAAGCCAGTTGATGTTATATGTTATTTTAGAAAAGATTTTGGGCTTATATATATAATTACAAATAGTACTGTTATACTTTAGTTCTGTACATTTTCTACAACCAGAACACTGAAATAGTGTACATCATTTATACATATATATAATGTACCAGAACCAGTTTTATTCAGAGGAGATTTTGTTTTATGATGTGAACACTACATTATATGACTGTCCCTCATTTAAACTATTTATACTACCATCAGCATCATATGGAATGTTAACAAACACAATACAGGCATTCCTATTTAACTTCTGAACAGGGGAATCTATATAAATAATGGGTTAAATAATTAATCGATAATATGCATATGTCAGTACAACAGTATTTGATTGCAATGGTTGTTACTACATGGATTTACCTGCATGAGTATGTGGGCTCGCCATACTTAAACACTTTGCCACAGAGCTGAGCTGGACAGTCCTTTTCCTTCAGTTCCTTAAACTTGACTTCAGGGTCACCATTACAAAGGAAATACTCCATAGGCCGGAACAGAAACTTTTCTGCCAGGCGGTCCTCTTTGGCAGGGTCATATCCATGTCCTAATACAACCAGTACATAACACTTCCAGTGCTGCTTCAAAGCAGACAGTAGCTCCCCCTTGTGGCAGCTCTCAAGCCATTCCTATAATTATTGTGGGAAAAAGGGATTACATATAGTCCAAACAATTATTTACCACTACGAGTGATGTTTAGTGAAAAAAAAGAAGGAAAATCAGTATATTTATATTTTACACACAAAACAAGAGGCCCATATGGCCAGTATCATTCACCTGTTAATTTTTCATTATCTGACTGAACTAGACAAGAAGTTAAAATGCTTTCACTAGCTTTACACCATGGCATTCATTTATTTCAAACTTCTTATTTACCCCAAACTGAAAATAGCAGTACTCTGTATTGTTAAGGGCAATGACAGAAACACTTTTCTTGTATACTAGACTGAGATATCTGCATTTCCGGCGGTGCTGGAAAATTCTATCCGACCCACGGGTCTAGATTGCTTACACGCGCAGACTTGCGGGGGAATTATGGTGACCTTTCGGGGTCACGCTATTGTTCGTGACATCATTTATAACGTTTTGGGGTCAGTCAGGGTCATTGACATCCGGGCTTCATATGCAAATGATAAATGTGTGGACAGTTTACAACTTTACTAGAAGAGCAGCTGTTTTTAGGGGTTTTAGGTTATAAGCAAGAAATAGAATCTACCCCTGATATGAGGTAAGGATAAGGTTATTCAAACCCTCGGGATAAAATATTGAGCAAAAGACTCTCGGCAAAGCCTCAGGTCTCCTGCTCAATATTTTATCCCTTGGGTTTAAATAACCTTATCCATACCTCACATCAGGGATGGATTCTATTAATATACAAGTAGACAATGTTTTATGGACCAGTGGACTGGTTTGCTAAATTTGATTTTCAATCAACAGCATCTGTTCAGGTCCATGGTAGCATTATTCAGGTCAATTTTAGCTACCACTGACCAGAGAAATATTGAGAAGTAGAAAATGTGTCAGAAAATCAGAGGGCAAGTTGAATCTGGTATTTCAAAGAGAGGCTCATTTGCACCATTATTTTTAACATTCCCAAATAAACCTACAGAAAAGTTGGCCTATAGGGCCTGTATTGCTCTCCTGGATATTTAAGTAACCATGGCAAAATATTCTCTAAAATATGGCAAAAATAAGATCCCAGAATAGAGTTTTTCCTAATATCAAGTCGTGATAGCATATACATGTATATGTACCGAAGTCTTCATTCTGCGCAATTGTGTGAATATATATATACTATTATAGGGTGGGGATCTCAAATCTTTCAATGTTATAACAGAGGGACTAAGTCCTTGAAGGCAGGAGCAGACCCCAAGGCTGTTTCTGGTATCATGATTGTGTTCTTCTCTTTATGCCCAGCAATAGTATGGTTATGGGAAGGGAATCTCAACCATTTCAAAGTTATGAGCCAGCAGATAAGTCCCTTGGGGAGTGGCCAGACCACAGGGTCAATTCTAAAACCATGATTGCATGTCTTTTTATATCCAACATCTAGATGAAATAAAAGTATGGGTGGCTGCCAAACTTTTGAAATTTACATTATAGGACATTGGATCTCACTTCTGTAAAGTTTCAAGCTGTTCACTTCTACAAGTTCAATCTGAGTAATGCGGTTTTCACACATGGAACTACACATTTTTGTTGTTTGGTCTCCTATGGCAACGTCAAATTCAAACTTTTGCTAAAATTCCTTCGAGGTTTCCAATTGACATAATGCAAAAACAATGAAGTATACATGTGGGTGGTGTCTTGTTTCATTTAATCATTGTATATGATCTCATTAGTTTGGAATGTTCTAGTACTGTATGTACCTGTGGTGTTCTGTTCAATATTGCGACTGAAGTGTACGATCATGTCTTCAACATTGGACCTCGATCCCCAACCTTGCACAAATAAAGCACCACTTTAGCTTCCTACCACAACATTCTGGACTGGATAATCTGCTAATGGTCGTTCTCACAATCCGACTTATGAGAAACAGACCAGTCTACATAGAGTAGTAAAGAGTACACAATATATGTAGTTGTTATAATGTAGCTTCTGATGATGAACATGGCAGAAGAGGCCATCTGTATCTGTATTTATACTGGAAATTAGCTCACTACTGAGCAAAGTCTATCCAGGGTGAGTGAGTGCGCTATATCAATCTTAGTCAATTTTGGTCACAATAGTGGCCTTAAACTGTTCCGTTGTTTTACAGTTGATTTTGAGCGATGGTAGTGCATTCCAATCTTTTATGGTAGATGGTACAAATGAGATTTTATATATGTAGGTGTTACAACTAAGCACTTTGATGGATTTACTGTGCTGTGTTCTAGATGGTCTGGTATTAAACTGAAATAGCGAGTCAGCGGGTATGGCCACGAGACCGTGAACTATTTTGTAAAGTAATTAAACTAAACGCTGGTCTCGTCGGCATTCGGATAGCGATTGTGGAGCATTTATGTTCCTCCATCATTTTGGATACACTACTGTATCCGCTGTAATCATTGCACACAAAGCGGGCGGCACGTCGCTGTATCCCTTCTAGACGGTCTATGTCCTTTTTCTGGTACAGATCCCATACAACAGAAGCATAGTCGAAGCCATGTATTGGTTCGCACACAAGTTGTATTTGTGAGGGAAAATATATTTATTGTATATTGTGTATTGTTGTTGTGTGTAAGTGAGTAAAATAAGGAACAAGCAACAAACTTGTCAGTGTTATGTTTGAACCAAGAGAAGCTGGCTACATAAAGGAACAATGGACTGAAAAATAAAATATGATGACAGACAAACACATTTTCTGTAGTTTGCAATCAATTTCCATGTGTGCTTGTGCAATACCCATGCTGTGGCATGAATCTGTACTAGGCAAAACATAGGTTAGCCAGCAGTTAAGCATATAAGTAGAATACAGGGATGGACTGGACCTCGCTAGACCAAGGCAAACATGTAAATAAAAACAGATGGACGAACTGGCTAGTTATCCGCTCATCATAGAAAGTTGCAACTGATATGAACTTGATTGAAAATCCTTGAAGTAACACTGGAAACAAAGTCTACATGTACATAAGTGTATCGAGGTTCACCAGTATGAAATACAAGGACCATGCATATGTCACTCATGATACTTCAGCATTTGAGTAACCCAGAGTAAACCATATTGCATATATAGTTATATACATTACATGCTCAGGGCCTATATAAATCTTTGAACGTTAAGTAAAAAACTGTGTTTTAGATTAATTTTTAACGAATACTACAATCAAAATGGAATTTTTTGCGTGATTACGAAAGAATCCTAAAATACACCAAATTTGCCGATTGCAGACGAATGCGCATAATGAATTCTACTTCTTTTCCAGCAAATATTCTCCAAATTTCCCGAGTTTATTAGGCATCTTACCTTTACTAAAACTTGTTGAATGAATGCTCTAGTTGGAGCATTTGATTTCAATGCCATCATGCCATCATCTATGTTCTATTTTCTATTTCGAAAGGTCTAGTTTCATGATTTGCGAAGTCCGATTTCAAATTCAAGCTTCTCATCGATATTGAATATCGTGAAAGCGTGTATCTTAACGATTTTGCCCCGTTTTTGTGTGCACGGTCAATATAAGGAAAATAGCATTATTAATTAACAATATTTACATAGCGTTTTGTTTTTGTCCACATATTTTTATATTTTTGCTTAAAAACATTTTTATCAACACTACAAAACCAGTAACGCGCATTCCAAATTCATAATATTTTAAAATCTATCGGGACTATTCTTCCGGATAGAATTTAACCTAACACCGTTGGTCTTGGTTTTACTGATGCTTGTATTGCACTGGGTTTCATCCTCTGGCATGAGCTGTTAGTAAATATCTAGGGAAAAGCACGATGGAAGATATATCAGACGTGAAAATTGTTCCTTGTGAAAAGTCCAGGTTCATAAAACCATTGCGAATGCTATTTAAGCAGGTAAGAACACGTCACCAAATTTTCGTGCTAAATAAGGAAATCCCTAAATATTTCATGTGATACCGCAGATGACCTACTTTCACTTTGTTTCCAAGCATGTACAATCGTTAGCGTTGCAATGTTGCTCACACATTTGCGAAGCGAGTTAAAAAAGGTAGTTATATTTATTTCTAATACCCTTATTTATGCAAAGCAGCGGCTGCCATTGAATCAGTAGGTGTACAACACCAGATGTACAATTTTACACCTAGTACTACACTCAGGGAAACGCGTGGGATTTGAGAGAAGTGGGCCATTTCAGCAAATTTTAGGCAATATCAAAATTAAGAGGGGTCATTTTGTGTAAAATTACAAGAACATTGGATCATGGTCATATTATCATAGACATTAATCAGTTGCACAGGTTTTTGACATGGTACAGTATCAATTGATTATGTAGTGGCACAGGTTCAGTTGATCGCTTATGACCAGGTAGCTCAATTGGTTTGAATGTCAATCTAGAATTTGGAGGTCCTTGCCATTGCATTTTTCTTTCCTATTACATTTGGGGCCCTATGTCTTTTGCACCTCAGGGGCGGGGTCAAAACCTTTGTTGAAGAAGGCAGGAGTGTAGCAGAAGTGAACTGGGTCAATTGCTGGTGTCCAGGTAGCTCTACTGATTAGAGCTTTTGTCTAAAACTCAGACTTTGGTCCTGAGTTGGCAACTCAGATTTTGGTCCTGAGTTGGCAACTCAGACTTTGGTCCTGAGTTGGCAACCAATCTAGTTGTTACATTTTCCCTTCCCTGTTACAATTTCAAAGATTTAGCTCTTTTAATCTAGGATATAGCTCGAAATAGTTTATTTCCTATAGTGGTTAATTATTAAACTGCCAAAAAAAATCACAATTATAACAAAATGAAGTTATAAATTTATACAAACAGAATATCACCCTCATGTGAAGTTGAAGGTGTTCCAGATTCCTTAGTGATTGGTAAGCCCCTACCTACAGAGGTTACTAGGACACCTGAAGGAGAAGCAATGTAGATACTTATTAATTAAGGTAATAGATAAATATGAGCATGTTAATCAACAGTGTTGCTGTACAAAAAATGTACTTGTCACCCTGGTAAATTACTTTCTGCTTCCTACCGACTTATCTAAAGAGAATTTCTCTTTAGCTTTATCGTAAGACTAGTAAAGCAGAGATCCCAGGTTCGACTCTTAGCAGAGGCATTAAAAATTGTAATGACCTCTGTTGCATACTTTTTGTTACCACGAGTGTATATAAAGTGCAGAATAAAACAGCCTTATTTGTAATTAAAGTAGGTCCTATAATCCTCCCTTGTGTGATGCTATTGTCCAGATTGGATGTTTCACTCACTTAATTATAGGGAGAGGTATCAATTTTTACCTATGAAATAATGTTATTCCAGATGGGTTGTTTCACCTACTTAATTATAGGGAGAGGTATAATGATGTTATTCAAGTAGTATATTCAGCTGATGTCCATATTCATAATACCAATGTGCAAATAATCAAGCTTGTGCACATTTACGACATGTTTTATTATTGAGAAATCTTTAATGTACACACATTACATAATTTTATTTTACAAGATAATTAAAACTAAATGTCCCTTAATATGAAGTGAGCATGTCCTCTCTGTCCCCAGCACGTTCATAGGATAACTTTTTTAAAGGAAAAAAAATCTTAACAAAACGGCATTGCTCATTTGTTCCCACTCAAGATCAATTTGTCTGAGGGGTCAATATGTTCTAGATAACAACTTTGAAATTCTCGAACCCATTGTCCAAACCACACTCTTGGATCTGTAGATCTATGAGAACGTGTCTGTTTCAGCAGACAAAGCATTTAATAACTTGATCCTTGTCTGCAAACACTAGTACATTTCCTGCTTCCAATAAGAGCTAGTCTTGCTTGATAACCAAGGAAATTGTACCTATACACTTTCTGATTTCCTGAAAGACAACATATTAGATAATAATTTTTGTGAGTTACAATCTTTCCAAAACCCAGTTAATTCTATTGGTTTTAATAACATTTCATCGCTAGCTCTGCTAGTTGCTCCACAATGAAATTTTTCGAAATTCTTATTACAATTCTAAATACATGAACCATTAAATTAAACTTAGTCATATTGTGACACTATATTCAAGAATTTGAATAAATGGATTGTGGATTTTAAAGAATTGAAAGGATCATATGATCAATCAAGAATATTCTTCCCTCAAAATTATGTCTGATGTTGGATCATTGTTCAAACCCGATACACTGCCATTTTAACACCAAGCTGAAGGAACCATTTGGTCTATTTTTATGAAAACATTTGTCTGCAATCCAGCGATATATCCACTAAGTATATGATATAAACTATTTTGGAGCATATTTGTGGGAAAAGCACGACAACTTCCATGGAGAAATAGATCAAGGATTAAATCATGAGAATGATCAAGTTCTTGGTTGACAGTATCTTTTTCGAGATAAGTGGAAATAAACTGTGTCCCTTTACTGGCCGACTTGATGTTTGTTTTCATATATGAGACTTACATTTTTATAGAACTTATCAGGATGCATTTGCATTTTAATATGCCACTACTACTTTCTTCTTCGTTTATAATGTGATTATTGGGATTGTTCACTTGTAGAATGGCCGAGAGAGGATATGGGATGTTTATAATGTGATTATTGGGATTGTTCACTTGTAGAATGGCCGAGAGAAGATATGGGATGCTATGGAGGTACATGATAGGTAGGTTAAAAGTACTCTACATGTATTAACAACCCAGATAAAAACATCCAAATTAATTGTAAAGCTTGCACAAAAAAAAGTTTATTAATTGATTCATCGATAATATCCTGTGTAGGAAACGGGTAAACGGGTGGTGCTAGAGACAAAGGAAAGAAAATCTGAATTAAAGGAAACAAGTTGAGATGAAAAATAAGAGATTATTTGTAAGCATTAATATCAGAATGTTACAAATGAATTACTCTTCTGTGTCTCTATTGCAGTGTGGTGATCCTTATTTTCAACAAGACAAGAAATGTATTTGTTTTTGTCAAACAGTTCCGTCCGGGTAGGTACACTTTTTAAATTCATATATATTTATTTTACAAATAATTATGAAACTAGCTTTATCAAATTAATCACTCGGACTAGCCTTGATGATTGCACACTGGAGGTCTGCGTGAACCATTACTCCACGAGTCATACATACCATCATACATCATACCCAACACTTCAGAAATAGGCAACATTTTAAGTAGATAGGCAATGGATGATTATTTCTATTATTTAGGTCTAAAATACTGGTAATATTGTGCCCATTACCTCTTCCTGGGGTTTGATTTCACTGATAGTTATTACCAGTCAGGTTTATCATATCCAAACATCACTCCCATGTTTTCTAATAACATTGGTGTTTTTGAAGATTAAAAATATCTAAATAATCAAAAACCACATATAAAACAAATTACATTGAAGAGTGGTTAATTCAATTTCCTTCTTTAAATGTGAAACTTTTACAATTTCCTAATTTGGTAAATCCTTTTTAGCCACAAACAATCTACACGAGGATTTATTTTGGAGATCAGAATTTCACATTTCGCTTGGAATAGCCATAATACTACTGCTGATGTTACTATTTATGTATATCAATGATGACACCTATCTTAGGTACAAATTTAAAAAAAAAAATGGCATTTATCATCAGTTCATTAGTTAAGCCTGGTAAGATGGATTTTATTTTCCAAATGAGTATAAAGTGGTGGCAAGCGTATTATCATTATTTGTGCTAGTCGCATGTAATGACTGCTAAAATACTATAAGTTGGAGTTATTTCCCTTATATTAAATGTTGGTGCTATTTTTGTTACAGCTGTCTATCTGAGTCGTTCAAAAATAACAGAAGAAAATGGCAGCAGACATATAAAGGCCAGTGAAAACCCTCCAAACTTAGGCGTGACCTATGAACTCTGTGCTGGAATAGTGGACAAGGATATTGGCAACCAGAGGATAGCACAGGAAGAGGTGATGGAGGAGTGTGGTTACGAGGTCCCTTTAGAAAACATTGAGCCAGTCACTTCATACAGGTAAGTATGGCTTCCAGAAGCAGAAAACATTGATCCAGTCATTTCATACATGTAGGTATGGCTTCCAGAAGTAGAAAACATTGAACCAGTCACTTCATACAGGTAAGTATGGCTTCCAGAAGCAAAAAACATTGATCCAGTCACTTCATACCTGTAGGTAAGTATGGCTTCCAAAAGCAGAAAACATTGATCCAGTCTTTTCATACATGTAGGTATGGCTTCCAGAAGTAGAAAACATTGAACCAGTCACTTCATACAGGTAAGTATGGCTTCCAGAAGAAGAAAACATTGATCCAGTCACTTCATACAGGTAAGTATGGCTTCCAGAAGCCTTTAGATATCGTGAAGCCCATCACTTCACTCAGTAAATTTGATTTCCAGGAGCATTTAGAAAAACTAAAAGTGGAGATTGACACTCCATTCAGGTAACTGGTTACCAAGTATCTGTAGACAATGGACGTATGCAGTCACTTTGTACAGGTTATTTTATGTGTGGTTACCACGTGTTCTTAGACAGAGTGGCGCTAGTCACCTGATACAGGTAATACTGTCTGAATGAAGCCAGTGGCTTAATGCAGTCACTGTATACAGGTACATACGGTTACAGTAATATGAGTACCTAGACAGAGTGGAGCCGGTCACCCGATACAGGTAACTGTGGCTACCTGGTGTCTGTAGACAGACTGTCAGTGAGTGGTTGCAGTCACTGTATACAGGTACGCAGGGTTACAGTAATATGAGTACCTAGACAGAGTGGAGCCAGTCACCCGATACAGGTAACTGTGGCTACCTGGTGTCTGTAGACAGACTGTCAGTGAGTGGTTGCAGTCACTGTATACAGGTACGCAGGGTTACAGTAATATGAGTACCTAGACAGAGTGGAGCCAGTCACCCGATACAGGTAACTGAGGCTACCTGGTGTCTGTAGACAGACTGTCGGTGAGTGGTTGCAGTTACTGTATACAGGTACGCAGGGTTACAGTAATATGAGTACCTAGACAGAGTGGAGCCGGTCACCCGATACAGGTAACTGTGGCTACCTGGTGTCTGTAGACAGACTGTCGGTGAGTGGTTGCAGTTACTGTATACAGGTATGCATGGTTACCATGTGTTCTTAGACAGAAAGGAATCGGTCACCTCATAGAAGCGAGTGTGGTTACCAGTTGCTTGGCCACAGTTTATGTAATCACACTATTCAGGTAGATGTGGTTATTTGGTGTCCCTACATTGGAATAGTTTGTCTTTGTTTATTGTTGATTTGGAATAGCTTGTTCTTGTATGATGGGGATAGGGACTTTTCCCTCTCGTAAACTTGGTTTTTACTTCATAGCAGATATTTTGACAGTTACTTAATGATTACTATTATCTGGATTCTGATAAACAGGTGTTTAAAGGCAGAATGGAGCTTGTCACTTTCTACATACACATGAATTGTTACCAAGTGTACCAAGTGTGTACCAAAGGAGTGTGGTTTGGGACTTTTTTTAATGTATCTTCTTATCTATTTTAGGAGCGGAGTAGGTGCAACAGGAGCCCTACAGAACTTGTACTATGCTGAGGTGACAGACAAGATGAGGGTAGGAACAGGAGGGGGTGTGGCAGAGGAGGGGGAGCTTATTGATGTGGTTGAAATACCTCTGTGTGATGGAAAGTCCTTCATCACAGATCAAAACTACAGCAAACCTGTAGCCATGATGTACGCACTCATGTGGTTCTTCGACGTCAAAGCTAAACATTATACAAACAGCAATAAACTTTGACTTGGACTCTGATGTAGAAATACTTATAATTTATGTAATCAGTTAATAAACTTATGTAGAGAGAGCTAGGATCTGACAACCGCCGCTGACCAGGTAGTTTATATCAAATAGTTACAGTTCTATCCATTCCTGTAACTATAGCTGAAATATATAGATCCAATATAGCCAATATTAAACATAAACTCGTGTCTAGTTTAAGTGTTTTAAATAGATTCATTTATTCATGCCATATTGTTTGTAATCAAACGTTACTTCATTACTTCACAAAAAGTACTATTTTCAAAATTTCAACCGTTCAAAATTCCTCATTTTTGTCATTGCTAATAATAAGGTTTGTCATGCGCAAGCATATAAATATTTGAATGCTTATCATATATAGCTTACCAAATAGCTTTAGGTTTTGCATCTGTATATAACATTTCACCTGTGGATGTAAGTATACAAACTTAATCGTTTGATTCTAGCCAGATACACTATTTAGCCCACAAATATAGAGAGCAACAATGCATTGTATCATGATCCCTAGAATGGCCTGTTAGTTGATTTGGAACTTTATAAATAATTTACAACAAAGAAGGACACATTTTTTCAGGTGTTTTTGGTCAAATATCGCCGACTTTTTACCCGTATCTCGTACCGATACCCAATCCTCATCGCACCCTATATATTCTGGTGTCACTAAGCGGCTTTCACAGAAGAGACGCATTGATGTCTGTCTGGCGATGTTATTTATTTCCCCAACACTGAATTCTTTCAATAAAAGAGCAATTTCAATGATGGCAATCATAAGGAGATCATTCCAAAACTGGACAAAGGAACTTTTCTCTTGCTATACAAATCATATGTGCAACGAAAATGGTGGCTGAACTGAAAAACCTTTTTATACCCAATGGACAAAAATCCCTAAATTTACCAACGCTATCGTACAGGAGACAGCGGGAAGATATGATAAAACTTTATACTGTAAACCATTGAAAATACGACCACGATGTTACTGGTTTTTTGAAGTTATGGAAAGATGTGTCAAATCGGTCCGAAAACAGAGGAAATTCTTTGAAAATATATCCCCAACAGTGTACAATTATGAAGAGGAAAAATAGTTTTTTTTAACTAAGTACTGCAAATGTGTGGTAACTTACCGGAAAATGAAGTATTGGCTAATAATTTAAACTGTTTCAAGAATGAACTGGAAAAATACTGGGAAGAATTGATATGAAGTGTAGTGTCGTCACAATAAAAAAAACTTTTTATTATAACAATTATCATGTATTGACTCGGGTGTAGTGGGTATACAATCCTGTACCAGAATTATATCATTAAATATCATTAAATGTATCTTTTGGGCGTTGCTTTTTCTTTTCCCGGCAGCTTTCAAACAGAAAGGGAGTTTTTCAGTTCATCGTACATTTGGTGGCATTCCGCGATCATGTCCTAGGTTAGAGACCCCATTATGCATTTCTATATGCAACTGTCGATACATTGTGTTGAACTTGTTTAACGTACTGTTAGGAATATATGTGATATAATACATGTATGATACAGAAAGAATTGGCAGAGCAAACTGGAAACAACTCTAGACAATTTATAAAAAGTAGTGCATCACGAAAGAAATACTTTCAATTGTCATTATCAAGGAATATGAATTTCCTGCATTTTTTGTTCAAGTGTACAAAACCTTTCCCGTTATCCTTGTGTAATTTAACTGAAAGCAGTCTTTTCTATGCACGCGGATTACTGAAATAGCGCTGTAGCCATCCGACTCCTTTTTAAAACTTCATGTTCTACGTAGGGAGCAAACAAACTCTGGAAAATATATATGAAGTACCTAAATGAGTTTAAGGATTGTAATCCCAGCTGTCCTCTAACCCTGACATTTCTAAGCGAGAAACACGCGAACAACACTGACAGCATTACCAAGGCCCGTTATCCAAGGCATATGCAACCGACTGCTTGCTCGTGGGAATGGAGCTGATCTGACAAACGACAAACCTTGCAACAACCGATTACATTACATATTTAATAGGACGGTACAATCCTTAATTGACATATCATTCAAGATCATATTAACAATAAAAGTTATATCTGAAAGAAAATACTATTTAATCTCTTGAAGCTTATTGTTATAAAATGTATTGCATTTCCTCTGCAACTAATCCCTTCCCTGGGTTTTTATTTTTTTATTGTCCTTATCATCGTGTCTAACCCTCCCGAACTGATCTACCGCGTGTTGAAAGAGTTAGCTCCCTTCTTACGTACTCCTAGATGATGCGGCTGGAGATGAAAGCTGTTTAGTTGATCGGAGAGAAAGGATGTGTCGCTAGTCAAAACTGCCCCATCCCCAATAGCGAGCCTGTTGACTGGTAAGATATGTCGGGCAGGGTTGGTGGTAAGCTAGAAGTACCTGTCTTTGCTACATAGTTCGTATTGGCACTGCACAGTTTTATTTTGTTTCTTCAAGAGATGAACGTAACACACAAACATACAGGTTTAGTTACTGCACATTGAAATTTAGAATAGATACAGTTTGCCAAATATGAATTGCATTGCAACACAAAGCTGTTTCGTCCTGGATGGACTCATTGGTGATGCTAAGGACCAGATAAGGAAAACCCATTGATTAATTATTTTAAAATTTAAAGGAGTACTGGTAAATTTCAAATTAAATACTGTGTAAAGTGTGTATTATATACAGTGCCACTACACAAAAGATATAACTGTGACCATCAAGCTGGTTACAAACCTCGGGGACTAAAAATTCCACCATCTGAGTCAACACTATACCAGTGATTCGTTACTCCTCTCGATTTCCTAGAAGTATCCTTACATTGTTAGTCACGTAAGTTTATGTTTCCGGTGAGGCATGCTAAGGCATTCGGATGTGTCCTATTGTAGCTGGCCGAGTTTCCGTGAAAGACGATCATTTCATTTTCTATTAGTATGTTGAAAAGTAGCCGTTTCGAATATTAGAATATATGTAGATATCGTATGTATTTGATGGATGCTATTTACAAAGGATAAGACGACTCGTTTTAGATGTAGGTAAGAAATGTTATATATAGTTGTTTCTAGCTTGTACTCGACAAAGGTATCTAGAACGATGCCGTACCATATTCTAGTATGTATTACTTGTACAATATTGTCGATAGCTTCGCTAGATTTCTTGCAACTTCTTGAACTAATAATTTAGCAGTGCTTTCTACGTTCTCATTTAGAATTACAATATGGAGTGGGAAAGCTTCCTAAATGTATTTTTATCTAGATAAATGGTATTTTACATGTACATTGCAGACTTCTTTCAGATGGTGAGTGACTCACCTACTTACCAGGATTTAACAGGATACATGATCACGAATGCCTCCTATGCTCCGGGAATGCCTTCTATGCTGCGGGAACGCCTCCATACCGGATCACTTTATTTCAGGTGCAATACTTCACTTTTGTCCTAAGTGTTAACTGTTCGGCAATGGGTTCTGTCGTAAGGCCGAGTCATACCAAAGTTCTTTAATATGGTAGTTGTTATTTCCTGCTTAACGTACGTTCAGCATTTAGGGCTATCGCATTAACTAGTTAACCCGTGGTCAGTATAATGTGACCAGGTCGATACTGTGCTGGGTGCCTTCGGCATGGTATTTCATTAAAGTAGCACTCTAAAGTCGGCATCAGATTCGCGCTATCACAAGGAGGCAAATACATCATCATTCCCTGCCTCCGTCACACATACACACAAACACGCAGACATGACACACATGGAGGCACGTCCTTAAACGATATTGGCTATTAATAGAACGTGAAATACAACAAAACAAAACTATTGCAGGTGTTGATTTTGTTTTGTTGGGCTTCCTGCTTTTTTTTCTCTTTTGCTGATGTCTCTTTAAATCTCGAATCAATGGTTTTGGTTTGGAGGTCTGATCTTTATGTGTTGAGGCTACGGTATTGCTCTATTTATTATATAATATGTAAACAGGTTAACTGTTAACTGGATGCCTATTCACGATTTTTATACTTTTAGAAAATGTGTTCTAACTTATAAAATCCTTAACGACCAGGCTCCAGGATTTTTAAAACAAAATTTATTTACCTATGTAACCCAGATTTCCACAAGAACCACAAGATCTTCTGCAAAGAACCAGCTCTATATCCCCAAGTGTAGAACAAGTTTTTACAAAAATTCTTTTAGATACACTTGTACTCTTTTATGGAATACTTTGGAAGAAACCATACGAACCACAACAAATGTTCTGGCTTTTAAAAAGGCATATCTGGCCAATTATTTTAAAA